GTAATAAAATTTTTCAAGTAACTATTGTTTCATATAATATCTACACACTTATCAGACTTACACATATAAACAAGCATCAAAGCACCACAAGATACTTCCATCTTTGAAGCAAAATACAGAATAGCAACACTGGAAAAGAATTAAATAAAACTTTACACATTAAAAAGTAGAAATTTGCCCTGGCCAGTTTGGCTCAGCGGTTAGAGCGTCGGCCTGCGGTCCAGAGAGACCCGGGTTCAGTTCCCGTTAAGGGCGCATACCTCGGATGCAGTTTGTCCCTGGCCCCGGATGGTTGTGTGGGTGGCAGCCACTCGATGTGTCCCTTTCATGTCAATGTTTCTCTCTCTCTCTCTCTCTCCCTCCCTACCTCTCTCCCTCTCCCTCCCTCCCTCCCACTCTATGTGAACAAAAAATGGAAAAATGTCCTCGGGTGAGGATAAAAAAAATAATAAAAATTTTAAAAAGTAGAAAAATAGCCCTGGCTGGGTGTCAGTTGGTTAGTGCATCGTCCTGATAAACCAAGGTTGTGGGTTCCATCCCCAGTCAGGGCACATACAAGAATCAACCAATGAATGCATAAATAAGTGAAACAACAAGTCGATGTCTCTCTCTCTCTCTCTCAAATCAATAAATAAATCAAAAAAGAAAATGTAGAAATGTAATACAGGAAAATCAAATTAAAAGCAGATGGGCTGCCCTGGCTGGGTGGCTAAGTTGTTTGGAGCTCGTTCCATACACCAAAAGATTGCAGGTTGATTCCCGGTCAGGGAGTGTATGAGAGGCAACCAATAGATGTTTCTCCCTCTCTCCCTTCTCTCTCTAAAATCAATAAAAATATACCCTCAGGTAAGAATAAAAAAAAGCAAATGTGCTTTCCAACAGATGCATGAGTAAGGAAAGGCAAAATTAAATTGTAGTCATAATTTTACAAGACATTTAGAAAACTATCATGAAAAACAATTTAAAAAACAGGCTCTATTATGAGCATATTATTGGGTAATTTTTAAATTACTTGTATGTAGGTCATACCTTTATACATGTTAACAATTTATCATACTACAGAAAATGAACGAACACATCACCTTCACTTTTCTGTCAACCACAACCTTTAAGCATTCATTTTCAGTTAAGATACAGATTGTACATGTTCAACTGCACCACTTCAAGATTCCATTCAATCCAAAAATTCATAAAATGTTTGCATTGCAGGGAACAACATGAAAATTGGTTATAAAACTACCACAGCACTAAGATGAGGAACTTGTAACGGGATACAGAAGTTCATTATCAGGGATACTAAGCAACCTCAATTCACAAAAATAGGTTCTATAAAATAATTTAATATAGTTCTGGCTTAAGCAGTCAATTTCATCCAAGAAGGAAAGGGACTTTCTCATTTTACTCACTATTGGGAGAAAGGAGAAAGTACTAATAACCACTTCCAGTCAACATTCTAAGTGAGTGACAACTAAACATTTATTAACTAAATGTGATCAAATTAAAATCATACAGTGCTTCTTGTGTCAGTTTACAAAACAAAAACAAAAGCAACATCACTCTAAGTTAACATGACTCAGTAATCTGAGATATTTTAATTGCAGCTGCAATGTTTGTGTTAGTTGCCTGTGTATATGACTCACTCTCAGAAAGGTTCTCCCAAGGCTCTTGGATTTTTGAGAATGCAGAAACCATAACTGGGGCATACTGTGTGGGAAGTGTCATGACAGTGAATGAATAAAAGAGAAACTCATGATAGGATTTCTTTTTTTTATTCCTCACCCGAGGACACTTTTCTATTTATCATCAGATAGTGTGGGAGGGAGGGAGAGAGACAGAGAGAAATATCGATGTGATAGAGCCACATCAACTGGTTGCCTCCCACACAACCCCAAGCAGAACTGGGGATGAACCACAACCAAGGTACATGCCCTTGACAAGAATCGAACCCGCAACTCACGGTTGGAGGGCCGAAGCTCTAACCACTGACCCAAACTGGCCCAAAACTTTTTAACAGTTTTTATAGCCCAGCTGTTGTGGCTCAGAGGTTGAGCGTCAACCCATGCACCAGGAGGTCACCAGTTTGATTCCTGGTCAGGGCACATGCCCAGGTTGTGGGCCTGATCCCCAGTGGGGGGCATGCAAGAGGCGGCCAATTGATGTTCTCTCTCATCGATGTTTCTATCTCTCTCTCCCTTCCTCTCTAAAATCAATAAAGAAAAAAAACTTTTTTTTTTAGTTTTTATAGCCCTGGCCCATTTGCAAAGTGGTTAGAGCATTGACCCATGGACCAAAGGGTCATGGGTTCAATTCTGATCAAGGGCACGTACCTGGGTTGCAGGTTCGATCTCTGACCCAGTCCAGGTTGTTTGGGAGGCAACCAACTGATGTGTCTTTTCTCACATCGATGTTTCTCTCTCTCTCTCTCCCCCCCTCCCTCCCTCCCTTCCACTCTCTAAAAAATCAATGGAACAAATATCCTCTGGTGAGGATAAACAAAACAACAAAAAAGTTTTTATAAAAAGCAAGTCACTCACAGAAGGCAGATTTTTCTGCAGAATAATAGGAAAGGTTGGGGAAGCTATCCTGACACTGAGAACGCTTGGTTGGTTGAATTCATGGTACTTCTTATACTACAATATACAATATTTAACTGGTTTCCTTGTCTGGCTCCCCAACTAGACTATAGGCAACCTAGGACCAAAAGCTGTCTTGTTTTAGAATCATTAGTACCTACTTTCCAAAATGCCCAGCACATAAAGAGAGCCCTACATAGGTGTTTTCATAAAACTGATTACTGAATAATCAATCTTACATTTACCTTTTATTTTACAAAGCAGTTGCACAAACATTACCTTTTTTGATCCACAAAACAATCTTGTGAAGTGGGAAGGGCGTTATTTAACCAAATGGCTTTTGGTTTTACAAAGAGTTGTTAACTTACTGACCTAAACAACCCTGAAATCACAATGATAATCACATATCTGTTCATCATTGTGATAACATCTCCTTGGGACTTCAATATTCTTGTAAAACCCAAAGGTTTTACTAGCATGTTCTATGCTTGCTCTTCATAGTAGGTAGTAATCACACAGCTCTGAATTTCACAGAAGGGTTTTAAGTGCATAAGGCAGTGTTAAATGAATGATCTTCTACAAATCTGACATTAAGAAGCATCCTCAGCTATTTTTCCTGATCCTGTTCTTTTTGTGACCCTGAGAAGGTAAAGAATTACAAAAGGCAAAATGCTGGAGAGTGGATGATGTCATGGATGTCATGAAGTTGCATCAATACCTGATGATGATTTAGCACAACAATGCAACACATTATGCCAAGAAGCGTAATATCAAACCACCAAGATGTTTTACTGCATTAATTTCATGACTCTTTATTATTAGCAAATTGAAACATAGAGTGGCTTTCCAATTTTCTGCAACAGAGAAGTTGTTGGTTCAGGTTGATGTCCTTAGCAAAGGCACTAAGAAAATCTACAAATCTCTATGGAGATGGCTTTAAGAAAAGGGAAAATGGTTAAAGAATTAGCTGATAACTGAACAGTTGTCATTTTAACAATGAAAAGCTTCTTGAAATAGACAAAACACCCATGGGTCAATGTAGATTGAGTAATATATTTATACCAGGCTTGTCAAAAGCAAACAATTACAGGGTATAAAATGACAACATACAAATGAAATAACACCAATCAGGTTATACACGCGACTGTGCTCCAAGTTAGGACTTTGACACAGAGCAACATTATTCACTGTAAAAGCTACAAAGTCCATTTTTAAACATTCAAATCTAAATAATGGCATTTCCTCTCAAATTTTCCTTGTCCCTTTTAAACCCACATTACATCATCATTCTTAGGCATGACAAAACACTCCGTTACAAAAGGTGTTTGGTGTCTCTTACCCAAAGCCATCACCTCAACAATTCCCCACAGCACAATTCCAACTAAAGCCATCATTCCTCCAGGAAAACAAAAAAAACCCACAAGACTTCAAACCGACTGTCCTGGTGAGAAAACCTAAATTGGCCTCTCAATTAGCATTTGAACAACAACAACAAAAAAGTTGTTCTCAAAAAAGAGCAACAAGCATAGCACAACGTCCCTGCCAGCAAGTGAGAACTGGTAATGTGTCTGAATCTTCATCCAGAGCAATCAGAATCCTACCATAGAAAAGTCCAAAAGCTTGGCAATGAAGAAATTAAGCTTTTCTTTTCCTAATAAAATTCGGTAGATTTTACAGACAAAAGCAATTGGCTATTCCGAATCTTAACAATCCAAAGGTTTCAAACGAACGAGGGCTTCATTAGCACCGAAGTTACTCTGCAGAGACTATTAGGATCTTTTTTCCTCGTTTACAAATTCATTCCCACCCTCCACTGTTCCCTTTGCACAAATAATTCTCACCACAGGGCTTCCACGGTCACAACGTGGGTTGCTCTCTCAACCCAGGAGATCCGCAGTTCCCACTTTGCTGGGGAGACACTCAAAAAGCTAAGGGGTAGGTAAGGCTGCTTGTGTTTTATTTTTTAGGCCAATTCCAAAATCTTCCCTTTGCAGCTGCAGCTTCGGAGATGCTGGCCCCTCGCCGCAGCCCCAATTTTGGAGGGCACCGGACTCCAGCTTCTCCGGCACGGCGTTAAGGATTCGGGGGCGGGAAAAGATTACCTGACATCCCTACAGTCATCCTTGCCCAGGTCACACACCCTTTCGTGGCCCCGGTGAGGGGACGAGAACCGCCCTGCTTGAGGAAAGGGGCCGGGTTCACTCCCATCCCAATGGCTGGCTGGGAAGGGGCTCTCCTCCTCCTTGCCTAACCCAGGGAGGCCGAGGATGACGACAGCAAGGTCTCCAGTCCAGCGGCACCGACCACCGCGTGGGGCGCAGGACCTGCGCGGGACCCGGGGCACCCACTGCCCGCTGCGGGCCCCGGGCATAAAGGGCAGGAGGCGCCAGCTCCCCGCCGCGGCCCCGGGATGGGGAGAGACCTCACCTGGCCCAGCCCGCGCCACGCTCTCGGGTTAGCTCCGCTGACGACAGCGGCGAGGGAGCCGGGACAGGGCCAGAGCAGAGGGGCTCCGCCTCAGGCCGTGCTTGCCGCACTCGGGGCTCCTCACAGCTGGCCGGACCCCGAGCAGTACGGAGCCGCCATCTTCCTCCACTCTAACGCCGCCGCCGGGGCAGCTCTGGCCGGGAGAAGACAGCGCAGAGCGCGCATGCGCAGGGCTCGGCGCGGAGGACGCGCGCGCACTCACGTCGGGCGGCCTGGGGGTGGTGCCATTCGGGAAGAGGCGTGGTCCCAGGTTGTGGCTCTCCTGGGCATGGAACCACCCCCAGGGAGCGCAGCTGGAGTTAAGAAACGTCGCGCTTCCGCACCTTTCTTCCTTCGGTCTCTAGACCCTACCCCAGGTCAGCACCCACCCTTCTTTCCGTGCGTGGGGCAACTGTCTTGAGACTATGATAGAAGTTTGGCTAGGAATTAACTCATTTATACCCCCTGAGGGTATGAGCATAGGTGAGGACTGTGAAAGTTGGAAGTGCTGTTGGATGTTAAGTGAAGGAGGGGAATTCAGTTCCTTGGTTGTGCAAGCGAAGCCTCCCTTAACTAGAACAACCATTGTGTGACTTTTTACTAGCTTCTTTGTCAGGTGAGGAAACTGGCGCAAAGAAGTATGAGTCATTTTCCCAAGGCCACACACCTTAGAGGAGAGGAGGCAGGGTAGGATTTGAACTCGGGCTTATCTGGTTCTCAAGCTCCTGTACTGTCTACTGTCACTATCACCAGGCCAGACAGCGGGGTCCAGCTAAATCCTCCCTCCAAGGGAGTAATCTGGTGTGTAGGTGAGAACCTTCATGAACCCATCGGGACAGCAAGTGGTCTAAGGAAATGTCAGAGATAACAGAGGCCAAGGGCTTCAGTCTTCATCCCTTGCACCGAAAACCAAAGAAACCTTGAAGTACCAGCCCACCACCCTGGGATAAAAATGGACTTTCTGGGATATCTCTTGGATCAGAACCCAAGTATCCACTCAAATTGGGAGGGCAATGCACTAATGAGCAGACTTGAGTAATCCTCACTCTAGAAATCACTAGATCTGTGTTCCTTAAACTTGAATAATGCATAGACCCCTGGGAATACACTTGTGAAATCCTAGTATGAGAAACATTGATTTAAGAAACTCAAGTCTTTCAGTTAGGAAATGTTACTGCAAAAGAAAAACTTGGCAATTATAACTGATAAAAAAAATATTAAAATTAGCCCTGACTGATTTTGCTCAGCAGTTAGAGTATCAGCCCGCGGACAGAGAGACCTGCTTTGTTCCTGCTAAGGGCCCGTATTTTGGTTTCAGTTTCTCCCCGCCAGCGCTGGGATTCTGTGGGTGGCAACCAGTGGTCATGTCTCTCTCACATGGATGTTTCTCTCTCTTTCTTCCTCCCTCTCCCTCCCGCTCTATCTGAAGATAAATGCAAAAGTGTTCTCGGGTGAGGATAAAAATATATATATATAGTATGTCATTAAAAGTTGTCACAAAATTTGTGACCAATCCCACCACCCACAATGTAGAGCTCAATGTTAGAAACACTGGACCAGCTATTAAGTGCTTCCTTATAAAAATGTTGGTTCCAGGGCCCATCTTAGACCTTGCCTCAGACTTTTTCTAAAGCTCCCTAGAGATTCTGATCCCAGTTAGGTTTGGAACTGCTGGATCATGTTAAACAGGTTCCAATACAGAACCACTCCACCTTGAATCTCCTAGCTCAAACACAGCAGAGATTTTGGTCTGTTTTGTTCATGACTTTATCACCTAATATAGAGACTGGCATACAGTAGGGACTCACTAAATATTTGATGAATGAAAGAATGAACTGGGAATTTGGCAATTAAGAGGGCAGGCACATGAGCACGCACACGCACACACACACACACATCTCAAATACCCGTTCTATAGCTCAACTCTTGTGCTTGTACATTTTCTCTACCACATCAGAAACAGAGAAGATGAAAAAAAGACCATGTCTCTCTCCCCATTCACCTGTGATCCTTTGTTTCTCACTTTCCAATGGGAATCTGGGTGGCTAAGTTACTAAATTTCTAAGTCAGGGGCTTCTACACAGTCTCTGTAGTGTATTCTGGCTTCCCCCAACTTTCTAATGAATGGCTAATTAGCATGAAAAAGATTGTCTTTAGTGAAACAGACCTCTCCAAAGTTTTCAACAGCTCTTCAAAGATTACAAAGGGAACCCTGAATGAGTAGCTTAGTTGGTTAGAGAATAGTCCCCACATACCCAGAGGTTGTGGGTTTGATCCCCAGTCAGGGCACTTGTGAGAATCAACCAATGAGTGCATAAATCATTGGAACAAATTGGTGTTTTTTCTCCCTCCCTTACTTTTTTGCTCTCTATCTCAAATGAATGAATAAATAAAACTGAAAAAAATATATATATTATAAAGGGAATTCAAGATCCTAGAACAGAGGTCTGCAAGCATTTTCTGTAACAGCCAGAGTGTAAATGGCTTATGGTCTCTGTTGAAACTTCAAGTTTCTCCTCATAGTTTAAAAGCAGTCATAGAGCCCTGGCCAGTTTGGCTCAGCGGTTAGAGCATTGGCCTGCGGTCCAGAGAGACCCGGGTTCGGTTCCCACTAAGGGCATGTACCTCGGTTGCAGGTTGTCCCGGCCCTGGTTGGGTTGTGTGGGTGGCAACCAGTCGATGTGTCCCTTTCACGTCGATGTTTCTCTCTCTCCTTCCCACTCTATCTGAACAAAATATGGAAAAATGTCCTCGGGTGAGGATTAAAAAATAAATAAATGAAAAAAATAAATAAATAAAAGTAGTCATAGATAATATGTAAACAAATAGGTGTGGCTATATTCTAATAACACTTTATTTGTGGACACTAAAGCGTGAATTTCACATAATTGTCATGTATTAGGGTAAGCTCCAAGGTTAGGCCAGGCTACGAAGGTAGGCTATGCTCCAAGGCTAGGCTACTATGAAAGGTAGACAATAAACAAGTAAATAAGCCACATAAAATTATAAATTGTGCCCAGCCAGTATGGCTCACTGGTTGAGTATCGACCCAAGCACCAAGAGGTTGCCAGTTCGATTCCCAGTCAGGGCACATGCCCAGGTTGTGGCCTGATCCCCAGTGGGGGGCATGCAGGAGGCAGCTAATCAATACTCTTTCTCATAGATGTTTCTTTCTCTCTCTCAAATCAGTAAAGAAAAAAATTATAAATTGTGATAAGCATAAAAGTACTATTATTAAAGAAAAATTAATGTCACAGTTGATGTTTAATTATGCATTCATATGTGCCAAACACTGCTAAGCAGTTGCCATTACTTTGCAGATGCTAAAACTGAGGCACAGAAGGATTAAGTAGCTCAACCCACATCACAAATAGGGTTTGAACCCAGGTGGTCTCACTCCAAAGTTTATGCTCTTAAATTCTATACAATGTTGCTTCTGACAAACAGGAGGAGATAAGATTTAAGTCAGTTTATATATGGTGTAGAATATCAGGAGGAAAACTGAATATTACCTACTATGCAGTGAAGATCTGGAGGCAGAAAGGGTATGTTATGAACATATGTTTTATAATAATCTTTCTGCAGGATGAAGGCCTATTGGGACATAATTGGAAAGGAGGAGACAAGGGAGGAGGCTAGGATGAAAGGGGTGGCTGTCATTTCACTAAAAACTATAAACCAAAAGTTTTCCTCCAGAGTTCATCCCAATAATAAATTACTGAAATTCACTTCTTATTTATGTACTTATTTAGGATAAGTAAGCTATGCACACAGAATAACATTCAAAAAGGTACAAAAGATTAATAACAGAAATTAAGACCTGTCTGGTGTGGCTCAGCTGGCTGAGCATCATCACATGCCCCAAAGGGTCATCTGTTCAATTCCCAGTCAGGACACATGCCCAGGTCACAGGTTTGATCCCCAGTTGAGGTGCATGTAGGAGGCAGCTGATGGATGTGTGTATCTCTCTCTCTCTTCCTCTCTCTAAAAAAAAAAAAAAAAAATCAGTAAAACATTTTATTTATTATTACTGTTAAATATTGGGGGTTTTTTTTAGAGCGAGGGAGGGAAAAGGAGAAAGAGAAAATGATTGATAGGTTGCCTCCTGCATGCCCCCTTCCCCGGGATCAAGCCTAAAACCTGGGTATGTACCCTGACCAGGAATCGAACTGTCAACTTTTTAGTGCACAGGATGACGCCCAACCAACCAAGCCACGCTGGTCAAGGCAATAAAAAAACATATCTAAAAAAAAAAAAAATTAAGTCCATTCTTCCAGTCCCCTACCTACCTGGTAAACATTTTTCCTCTACTGAGGTGACTACTGTTACAAGGTCCTGATATCTTTCCAGACATGCATACACAAGCACACATATTACACATATCAATAAATAAACCTAAAGTAGCAGCAAACTATACACAATGCTCTGCACCTTGCTTTTTTCTTTTTTAACTATAGTCCTTCAAGTTCACTTGATGTCAACATATTTAGAACCATCTAAGTTTTGTTAACAAATTACATTCTATTCCTTTGTATGGAGATATTATATATCTTTAAAACAAATCTTCTAGTGATGGACATTTAATTTGTTTCCATTCTGTTGTTATTATAAACAAAGTAGCAATGAATACACTTGTACTTTTGTTATGCATATAAGCAAATGTATCTACAGAAAAATTTACTAGCCCTGGCCGGTTTGGCTCAGCGGTTAGAGCTTCAGCCTGCGGTCCAGAGAGACCCAGGTTTGGCTCCCGCTAAGGGCATGTGCCTCAGTTGCAGTTTGTCCCCAACCCTGGTTGGGTCATGTGGGAGGCAGCCACTCGATGTGTCCCTTTCACATCGATGTTTCTCTCTCTCTCTCTCTTCCTCTCTCTCCCTCCCACTCTATCTGAACAAAGAATGGAAAAATGTCCTCAGGTGAGGATTAAAAAAAAGAAAGAAAGAAAAATTTACTAGAAATGCCATTACTGGGTCAAAAGGCACATGCATTTTAAATATTGGTAAGTTGCCATTTATTTTTTAACACACTGTCCACATAGCCTTAGTTTATACATCACATGGAAACTGTTCTCAGTATGGGCTTTTCTCTTACATTCCCATCACATATCAGAGTGTTTTATGTGGTATATCTGTTCTGAGTGCAAGTCTCTAATTTCCAAACATGAATGATGTATCACACACATTTCATAAGAAAAAGAAGCCCATGCTTTAGGTCTTTGCCACTGTCACAATTGGGGGGGGGGCTTCCCCTCTCAGAAAGAAACCACCACTTCCTCAATTTTGAAGCTTATTTAGTCCCATTCCCTCATTCTACAGAAGAAGAAGGGACTTTCCCAAGGTCACAGGGGGCCTATATGATTAATTAGGGTTGTCCTCTAGATTGCTCATTTGGTGAAATAAAGGCTATTTCCTTTGTAGCATCCTCAGATCATCTCCAAGATCTCTTATCTTTCTGGTCTCCTAGAAAATTCAGTCCCAGGAATGTCCAACTGTTAAGGCTCATTGCCAAATATAACAAAATTGTAAGAAACTATCTCCCTCTGCTGGTAACATTCTATAAGGACAAACACCGAAAACTGCGAGTCAGCTACATTTAGGAAAGACTAATCATGCCTCAAGAGTGAGACTTAAGTGACATCTGATAGACAGTTTCCACCACCTTGTCTTCACCAAGGTTCGATCAGGATAATTCACTTAAAATAATGGTTTATAGGAGAATGTATTCAAAGTAAATATAGTTCCAGAGAGTGAAAAAAAACAAGTCCTTTATCTTTGGGGAAGTTGGTCAGGCTGTTAATAGTATTAGTTGTATTTTAGACCAAGAATTTGAGCTGCTAGTGGAATATACATGCGGAGATGCCAATAAGAAGTCTGTATCAATCAGAAACATCAGGTCATTTCAGGGCTGGAAATCAAATTTGGGATTCTTCAGAATGCTATTTTAGAGACAGGAAATCGTGAAACCAGAGAATTAGTAAGCATGTCACTTTAACTTCTAACTGAAGACTAGTAACATTTAACACATGACTGCACTTTATAATAATAATAATCATTAAGAATACAAATTGCAAAATTTCACAACAGGAAGCTGTTCCTTCAGAAAGATTAATAACATGCTAAAAACATATCCCAATTCAGATAATTTTATTATAACAGCCAAATGCAACACAGCTGAATGGCATGTTTTTAACACTGAGAGGCCCACAAAAATATATCAGTGAGTATAAATACATATGATACTGGCCTTTCCCCCTGCTGTTGTGATTTGAGAAAGAAAGCATGATGCCCTGGCCAGTTTGGCTCAGCGGTAGAGCGTTGGCCCATGGACCAGAGTTGAGGGTGTAATTCCGATCAAGGGCACGTACCTTGATTGCAATTCGTTCCCAGCCCTGGTTGGGTCATGCGGGAAGCAGCCAGTTGAAGTGTCCCTCTCATGTCAATGTTTCTCTCTTTCCCCCTTTCTATCCCTCTCTCTCTCCCTCCCACTCTATCTGAAGATAGATAGAAAAATATCCTCAGGTAAGTATTAGAAAAAAAAGAAAGCACGATCACAGATGTGAGAATTATAAATCTTACGGCAGACAAGACACTTCCATAATAACAGTAGGCAGCCTTTAGAACTCTTACTATGGGTCAAGCACTATTTTAAGCTTTTCAGCATCATAACTCGTTAACCCTAAATCTATTTCTCAAGAAGCTACTACTACTATGATCTTTTTAAAAAAATACTTGGGACCCTGCCCAGTTTGGCTCAGCGGTTGAGCATCAGCCTGCGGACCAGAGAGTCCCGGGTTTGGTTTCCACTAGGGGCATGTACCACCAAAAAAAAAACAACAATAACTTGGGGAAACCAAGGCACATAAACCTTAAATAACTTGTATAAGACCACACAGCTGTTCAAGTTGGAAGTGTTCAAAGTTGAACTTTAATATCCAAGGTCTCCACTTCTATACTGGAGAAAAACAAATCAAAACACTGTTTAGGAAGATTAATAAATTCGTTTTTAAAGTAATGTTAATGTACATATCTGGCATTAAAGGCTCAGAAGAACTTTAGTAGTTGTGGTTGTCTAGCTCAGATAGAACATTACCAACTAATAGTAATGTTTCTACCTCGTGGTAGAAGATGTAATTGTTACCAGATGCTTGAAATACTGCTTTATGAGCAGGAAATACTGTAATAATTTTCACCTTATCAGATAGAAATAATAAAATGTTTTATGCATTAGTAAATGTTTTTCATTCTTTGTTGAGGTATAAAAATATTTTCAGCCCTGGAGGGTGTGCTCAGTGGTTAGAGCGTCAGCCCATATACCAAAGGGTCTGCCAGGTTCTTGGGTTGCAGGTTCAATCCCCCACCCCAGTGGTGGGAGGCAGCCAATTGATGTGTCTCTCTCACATGTATGTTTCTCTGTCTCTTTCTCTCTTTCTCCACCCCCTTGCTTGGTTCCTTCCTTCCACTCTCTCTAAAAATCAATGGAAAAAATATCCTTTGGTGAGGATTAACAACAACAGCCCCGGCCGGCTTGGCTCAGGGATTAGAGCTTCGGCACGTGGACCAGAGAGTACTGGGTTTGGTTCCTACTAAGGGCACGCACCCCAGTTGCAGTTTATCGCTGCGGGAGTTGGGGTAGTGTGGGTGGCAGCCATTCCATGTGTCTCACATCGATGTTTCTCTCTCTCTTCTTCCGTCTCTCCCTCCCACTCTATCTGAAGATAAATGCAAAAATGTCCTCAGGTGAGGATAAAAAAATATAGACAGATAGATGTTTTTGTCCTTGGGTGAGGATAAAAAAATATAGACAGATAGATGTTTTTCAAACTTTTGAAAAAACCACCTGCACTTTATAAAAACTGCGAATCACTTTAAAACTTTTTTCCCAGTAGTTGCCTGCCCTTAGAAAAGATGGTTCCAAAGATCACATTCCCATACTCAAACAACGATTCACAAGGACTTCCATTCAGCAAAACGCGTCGCCCTTAAGAAAAATGGCAACACCCTAATTTCCCCGCCCTCTTCCAAGATGGTTTCCCCAACAATCTTGGGCCCTAGCCGGGCGCCTTTTCCGGCCTTGGCAGGGGGCGGGGTCCATTGAGTAAAGAGCCTTGCGTGCCGGCGCCCGCGACGGGGGCACGTATCAGGGCGCAGGCGCAGGGAGGGGGTTGGGAGGAGGGAGAGCGGCGAGTAAGATGGAAGATGAGGAGGTCGCTGAGAGCTGGGAGGAGGCGGCAGACAGCGGGGTAAGGAGGAGCCGCCGCCCCGGGGCTGGGCCGGGCGGGACCTGGCGTGAGGGAAGCCTCCAGGGAGTGGGTCTGAGGATAGTTATCCCCAAGGAAAGGCCCCACACGCCGGGCAGGAGATGGTGGAGAGGCCCCCGGTCTCTTGAGTGCTGTGAAGGCCTCTTAAAGGGGCCGCGTTCCATTTCTCCCTCCACCTTTGCCCGGTGCGCCTCCTTTCATCGCCCGATATGCGCGTCACCCGGGGTGCCCACCCGCCACCCAAGGCCTCTTTTCATGACCCCCGCGCCCGCTCGTTCGCCCCGGGCCCCTTTGACCCTTCCTTTCCCGTCGGACTCTCTCGCCCGAGGCACCATTTTAAAGTTCATGTGCTGTGAGGAGGAGCGACGCACCGTGTGTGTCGTGGGGGGCGGGCAGGAGTGGTCGGTGCGCAGACCCAGGCGGCATGCCGGGCTCCGGATAAGGGCAGGAAGGGAAACAGTCGTCTCTGGGCGCCTATTAAAATCCTCCACCGCTTTGCGCTGTCTGCCGCGGTGGGCGAGTGTGGGTTGTCTTTTTTTTCTTTCAGTTTTACTCCGAGAGCCCGTTGCTGGCCGGTCTCCCCGGGGACCCAGCCAGAAAGACCGTCAGCCCAGCGGGCAGCCCTTCTCCCCGGGGATCTCCAATGATCTGAGCCCGGAGGGAGGATCTCGGAGTGTGCTCGCCGGGGTTGAGAGGGGAGGGGTGCGATATACAGGATAAAGTAGCCGCATTCCAGGGAGAGGAGGGGGAAATGGACTGTTCGTCTTGCTTTGGGGAGTTTTCATTTGCCTCCAGAAGCTGTAGGAAAAGAGTTCGTCCCAAGCCGAACAGCCTATTCGATTAGTTTCGTGATTAATTTGGGTTTTTCAGAGTTTGTGGTTTCGACGGTGACCCTTGTGCAGATGGGGCGATGTCTTTTTGGTCTCTCCATGTTTGTGTCTGTTAAAGTGCTGGCTCGAGTGACATCTGCCTTAAAGGTTTAATTGTTGAGAGTAGGGTGCGGAGAGCCCAGTTGTACAGGGGCTGGGTTTTCTTCTCCAAGCCCCTTTCAGGGTGCTTGTCAACTCTGGAAGAGGCCAAGAAATTGACCCTGGCATCAGTGGGTGTATTTCTATAGGAATGTTGAAACTTGGCTTCCAAGTTGTTTCTGGTGGTTCAGCATTTCTCTCAGGTGTTTGTTTTTCCTCTTAGCATGATTGAGGATTTGAAGAATTAATTCGTTCAAAAGTTCCTGTGGGCCGACCATTTTCCTTAGATTTTGTCTTGAGTTAGGAGAGCAGTTGAAAGATTTTATAGGGAGCAACAGGTGTCATCTAGGTATTATTCAATCAACAAACATTTTTGAGTGTCTGCTATGTGCTAGGCAGTGTGTGTGCTGAGCAGTGACTTTGTGGCAGAGAATGCAAAATTTCCAGTAGAGGCGTCTGTTGCCTACCACTAATATGAGTGAATCATTTAGACACCCCCATGCCCGCCCTCTGCAAAAAAACTTGGCCTACATTTTTTACGTGACTCAAATGATAAATTTCTTGAACAACTTAACCTTTCTTTGTTTTTCCTCACCTATTTTGAAGGGACATGAATTTCTCATATTATGGAAATAAGAAAATGGAAAACAAAAATGAGTGTAGGATTCATCAGAGGTTTGGGATCATTTTAGTTTTTCAGAATGGGTAAGTTGTTTAGAGATTAGCCAGCCCAGTACTGCATTTTATAGCTAAATAAACCCCAGAGATGTAAGGTTTAACTTAGAAATTTCTGATGATTGTCCAGTATTTTTTCTACTATCCTTTACTTTAGTAAAACACTTTAAAAGTTCTAGGTACAGAGATGGAATCCAAACCTTGCATCATTGAGCAGTAACTGCCAAAGTGCAAGATCCCTTATATTATATTTAATTGAGACACTGAAATAGTCTGTAAAGGCACTATCCCTTTTCTTTTTCTTTTTTATTTAATTTATTGATTTTAGAGAGAGAGAAAAACAACAACATCGATTTATTGCTCCACTTATTTATGCATTCATTGGTTGATTTTTGTATGTGCCCTGACCGGAGATCACTCCCACAACCTTGGCCTGTGGGGATGATGCTTTAACCAACTGAGCTACTATACCAGGGCCCATTATCCTCCTTTTATTTTATTAAATTTTTTTTCTTTATTGTTTTTAGAGAGAGAGGAAGGGAGAGAGAGAGAAACATCGATGAGAGAGAACATCGATTGGCCACTTCCTGCATGCCCCCACTGGGGATTGGGCCCACAATCTGGGCATGTGCCCTGACGGAAATTGAACCAGTGACCTCTTGGTGCATGGGTCGATGCTCAACCACTGAGCCACACTGGCCCGACTATCCTCCTTTTACAAACAAGTAAACTGAATTTAAGGAGTAACCTGTCTTGCTCAAGGTCACACAGGCCATGAGTGGGGAAGAGCTGGTTTTGTCTCTAGCATTTTGCTGCCTCCCTTTACCTGGGGACCCGTGGAAGACTTAGGAGTTGGGCATTAACTTTCATTTTTAAATTTTGTTTATTGATTTTAGAGAGAGGAAGGAAGAGGGAGAGAGAGATAAAAACATCAATGAGAGAGGACATTGGGGCCACCTCCTGCATGCCCCCCACTGGGGATTGTGCCCACAACCTGGGCATATGCCCTGACCAGAAATTGAACTGGTGACCTATTGTTGTATGGGTCAGTGCTCAACTACTGAGCCACACCAGCCAGGCTAACTTTCATTTTTAATATGTTTACCTCAGGCTTATATTGAAGGCTCTCTTGAATTTGAAAATTCATAAAGGGTCTTGTAAATATGCACTTTTGAAGGAAAGGAGCCAAGGATACGGGGTGAAGATCTGTGTCCACATCACTAGGAATTCAACTGGCTGTACATGTCTTTCAGATGTAGCCAGTTGCATGTTTAATTCGTAGCTTCAGGCCCTGGCTGATTAGGCTCAGCGGTTAGAGTCTCTACCTGTAGACCAAAGGGTTGAGGACTCGATTCTTGGGCAAGGGCATGCAACTGGGTTGCAGGTTTGATCCCTGGCCAGCCCCGGTAGTACAGGAGGCATTCGATGTGTCTTTCTCACATCGATGTTTCTCTCTCCTCCTTTCTCCCTCCCTCACTTTCACTCTATCTATAAAACCAATAAAAAAATATTCTCAAGTGAGGATTAACAAAACAAAAAACAAAATAATAAGTTTTAACTTCAGGTTACCCTACCTTCCAACCAATGTATGGTAATAAGCATTAAGTTACATCCCCCTTGAAAACAAAACAAAGCAAAACCTGAGTCCTGGCCAGAGTGGTTCACTTGGTTGGGCATGATCCCAGGCACTGAAAGGTTGCAGATTAGAATCCTGATCAGGGCACATGCCCTGGTTTCGGCTTGATCCCCAGCAAGGGGCATGCAGGAGGCAGCTGATCAATGTTCTACTCTCACATCGATGTTTCTCTCCTTTTCTCTACCTCTCAGTCTAAAAATCAATTAAAAAACAAAACAAAACCCAAATGGCAAGAAGGCTAACAAATGGGGGGAGAGAGAGAAAGAGAAACATCTATTGGTTGCCTCCCATGCCAACTGAGGATCAAACTGGCAACCTTTTGGTGTGCAAGACAAGGCTCCAACCAACTGAGCCACCCAGTTAGGGCTGTTGACTAATTTTTTTTTTGGTACATGTCCCTAGTGGGAACTGAACCTGGGACTCTCTGGTCCACAGGCCGATGCTCCAACCGCTGAGCCAAACCAGCCAGGGCTGTTGACTAATTCTTAAAGTGAACATTCAAACTTTATGTAATCCGAGGCAGTTACAACCTTTGAAAGTAGAGGCTTTTGGTGATCCCTGTCCTTCACAAAAAAATGTTGACATCACGCTAGAATCTTTCTCTTATTTGTCAGTACATCTGAGGTCATTGTTTCCTGCATATCTTCAGAATACTCAGTACAGTCCTATTGTGTCATTCTGGGAAGACTGACTTTGAGAAGCACCTCAAATAATCTGTAAATAGGCAAGTTTTTTTGCTTTTAGTTAGTATGGTGAATGCTTATCTAATATGTAATTGTCCCTTTACCTGTTTCCCCATGGAGTTACATACCAGTCAAAGAAAAATTTGAGAAATATAACTTGCCCTGGCCGGTTTGGCTCAGCGGTTAGAGCGTCGGCCTGCGGTCCAGAGAGACCCGGGTTCGGTTCCCGCTAAGGTCACGTACCTCGTTTGCAGTTTGTCCCCGGCCCTGGTCTGTTGTGCGGGTGGCAGCCACTCGATGTGTCCCTTTCACGTCAATGTTTCTCTCTCTCTCTCTCTCTGTTCCTCTCTCTCCCTCCCACTCTACCTGAACAAAAAATGGAAAAATGTCCTCGGGTGAGGATAAAAAAAAAAAAAGAGAGAGAGAGAAATATAACTTATATTTCACCAAGGAAATTCTTCTTTAAAAAATATACTGCCTTTGCCCTGGCCGGTTTTGCCCAGTGGTTAGAGCATCGGCCTGCGGTCCAGAGAGACCCAAGTTCGGTTCCCGCTAAGGACACGTACCTTGGTCGCAGTTTGTCCCCAGCCCTGGTTGAGTTGTGCAGGAGGCAGCCACTCAGTGTGTCCCTTTCATGTCGATGTTTCTCTTTCTCGCTTTCTCTCCCTCTCTTTCCCTCCCACTCTATTTGAACGAAAAATGGAAAAATGTCCTCGGGTGAGGATAAAAAAAAAAAGTGTGTGTGTGTAATGAAATAAAAATATGAAATTGGGGGAAATGAAAATATGAAATTGAGTTAATGTTATTCAAATTCTAAATTGTGTCCTTTGTCTTAAGCACATCTCAAGGGACAAATAGAGCATTTTGTAATTGGAAGACATCTTTGTGCCTTCCCTTCGCCCCCCCAATCATATCAACAGTTTGCTCAGTTTCTATTGGTTTGAGGCTTTGTATTCTTTAGTTGTTTCCTAGTCCATCTTGTTGGTAATGAGCTAACCCAGTCCTAGGGGAAGGCAAATA